CTGCTGATACACCAGGCACGAGGTGCCATGGTGGGGAATATCCCTTTGGCTAGTTCAGGTCACCTGTCCCGGCTATGCTCCCTCCGAATTTCCTGTATATCTTCTGACGGGCAGAGCATGAGACACCAGAAAGAAAATGTCCTTGGTTTAGGATAAACATAATCCAGCAAAACCAAAACAACAGTGTATTATCACTCTGAATCCAAAACACTGCACTACACCAGCTACTGAGAAAATTAACTCCATCCTGGCTAAAACCAGGACAGTAATGTTTGAAGAGTTTCTTTGGCTTTAGAAAGCATTAGTTTTACATATCCGAAACAGCACCAAAAGCTAGTTCTGATGTCTATTATTGGTTCTAGCATGATGATTCAAGACTTTCTAGAGTCTTCAAGAGGTCCTACAAGTTGACCAATTTCCTTCCTTTCAGCTTCTAGTTTTTCCTAGACAGTCATCTTTTGGATTAAAGTAGTGGAGTCATGCAGAAAATGTCCTGATAGTGAGACCTAGAAATCACAATCCTGCTTTCACAATGGGAAGCTTCATACTGCTCACAGAATACTGTGTGCGGTATGGAGTGTAAGAAGTAGTCTGTGCTTGCTCTCATGTTCTGACCTTTGAAAACTTGTAATTTGTTTTGACTTGTGTGCTCCTGGGCCAATCACCAAAAATACAATGATCTATTTTGTATTGATGGGTGGAACATAGACAAAAGTAACTTTTATTTGTTGGCAGATATTTTCTGAGGAAATGGAAATATAGATAAACAAGACATTTCCTTTTAGAAGAGCTAAAGGAAGAAAGCTTCTTTTAAAATCCAATCCTCTTAGATTATCAGGAGATTCATTAACAAAAGGCGGTGAGAGTGAGCTGTACTAAATCGCAAGCAAACAGTTTCTGAACTGGAAGGATGTGTCCTTTTCCCGCACTCCTGTTCCTTTCTTACAGTGCATCTCTTTGGTACCCTTCCTACTCTGGATATGTGTTTTGCTCAGAAAATCTAGTTGCAGTTATAATTAGGCATTACTGAATTCAAAGTGAATGTAAACATGCATCTTGAAGAATTTATTACATCTATAGCAGTAGGATATCTCCCATGTGATAGTCTAATAAACCACCTGATGCCCCTTTTTTGAGGGCTAATGTGCCAATAGAGGACAGATGAATGTGTTGTTACATGCATTCCTTGTAAATACATTAATGTAAATCCTGTGCCACCTGTCTCATTATGTTTTATATTTAACAGCTCTTTGCATTTCTCAGGCCCTGATACTGCTTTCAGGTTCATCAAGGCCATGATACAGAGAACATTTCATGTCTCCTTTGCTTGAAGTTGTCTTTGCTTTTCTCCATTTGGCTTTTCCTTTTGCAGAAATGGTAAAAGTAGGACAATGAA